GCAGTGAGACCCTGAACATGGGGAGGAGAGAGATGAGGTGCACATGCTAAGTTGCAGGATAAAGCCTCTGGGTGCTTGTGAGAGTCTGCTCTCTTCCGTGAGTGTCCCAGTGCCCAAGGGAATGAGACATTAAGTAGCAACTAAGACTACATGAGAGATCTAGAAAGAGACCATGGAAAAAAAGGAAAGCTTGCTTTTATATCTGCTTTTGGAACAAGGGGCCTCACACCTTCACGTTGCATTGGTTCCAACAACTCTATGGAGCTGGTCCTGACTACTGTGTGTATCTGTTCAATGCCAGCTCCTCAGAGACATTTCCTAATCACTCTATCACAGGGGTGACCCACTTTTTCTGTAAAGGACCAGAGAACAAAGTAGTTCGGGCTTTGTGGGTCATAGAGCCTCGGCAGTAACTGCTCAACTCTGCTGTGATAGTATGAAAGCAGCCGTAGATCACATATAATGAATGGGCATGTACATATTCCAATAAAACGTTATTTATGGACACTGAAATGTGAATTTCATGTAATTTTTACCTGCCATTAATATTATTTTTCCTTTGCCCCTCCCCCTATCCCCAATCATTAAAAAATAGTTAGAAGCCTGAATTTGGCCCAAGATCTGTAGTTAGCTGATTCTGAGGTAAATATGTGTGGGAGCAAGTTCTTGGGAAAGTAGGGAGAGATGGGTGCTGGACCACAGGTGAGGGACGGAGATGTTTTAAAGGAGGAGTCATGATGAACACATTTTTTTTTTTTTTTTAGTGAATGTATTAAAATCAAAGCGAATATTTCAGGCCCATCTCCATTTTTAATAATGCTACTATCTCTTTGTTCTTTCTCCTATTATTATTTCATTTCTCCATAAAGATATTTTTTAAATTTCTTTATTGATTAAGGTATCACATATTTGTCCTCAACCCCCTATTCCCATCCCAACATAGAGATATTTCTTTAATCCTGCCCTTGTGCTTTGTGTTTTGAGGCACCATTTGCTTGTGTCTAGATGTGAACACATGGATGTTCCTTCTCTTTGAAGCCCTTCTGTTTGCTACTTATGTGATCTTGAGTAAATAATCTAACCTTTCTGATTCACTGATTCTGTGTTAGTTAGGCTAAGTAGTGCTAGCTGACATGACAGACCAACCTAGGATCTCAGTGGTTTAACATAAAGGAGGTTTTACCTCAACTTCTTATAAGGTCCAATGTGGATTGAATGACCCTCCATCATTTTGGAACTACGTCATTTGCAGAGTAAGAGAGGGTTGGAGAAGGCTCACTTCTACAGACAGTCGATTGGTCAGAATTAGTTACCTGTCACCAACCTAACTGCACACAAGGCTTGGAAATAACAGGGAATCTATGCTTATGGTTTTGTTGAACACTAGAATTATCTCTTAGAACAGGGGTTGACCAATGTTTTCTCTAAAGGATAAGGCAGTAAATATTTCAGGTGCTGTGGATAATACAGCTTCTGTCTAAACTCCTTCACTCTGCCATTTAGACACAAAGTAAATGAATGGGCATAGATGTGTTCCAGTAAAACTTTATTTTCAGCAACATGATGCAGGCCAGATGTGGACCAGAGGCTATAGTTTGCTGATCCATAATGATTCTCCCTTTTTATTACCTCAGATGCTCAAAGAGCTTTGGGCAATTACCTCTACTCATTGGTCCTCACACTGGGTAACAGCAGATGAACAGTTCTGAAGAGGCAAAAAAGAATGGGGTCAGGTGATCACTGATCAAAGGTTCCATCCCTTCAAGTTTCTATTAGCCTAGCTCCCTTTCTCCAGATATCTTACTTAAAGTTATGCTACAGTGAGATCATAGCACTCTGCTCAAAGGAAGAAAGGGAAAATAAAATGTAGATTTGCATGACCATGCATTAGGCAATCTATACTTAGTTTTGAGAGCAAACAAGCATACATCTTTCAAGCATCTGTGTATATATTTGTGTTTCCCATTAAAGAACGTATCTTTTGGTATTCACCTAAGCAAGAAATATGTGAGTCACCCTAGACTCCTCCCTTAAAAAATCAACCTTCCCATCCAATAAGATGTCAAGATTAAAAAGCTAGCCTCATTAGCATCTCCTAAAAACATCTGCTGTCTCTAACCCTGCTGCCATTGCTTTACTTAGGATCTCATTATGTCATGGCTGGAATTCTATAACATCCTCCTAATTAGTTTTCCTTCCTCAAGTCCAACCCTGACCAATCTATTCTCTAAATTGCTACAGTAAGTTTATTAAAATGCAAACTCAGCTATGAAAACCTTGCTTGAAAATCATTCAGGTTTTTTTTAAATGTTCACATTAAAGACCAAACCCATTGGCATGGCATTTAGAGCCCTTTATGATGTGGCCCTTGAAACTTACAATATCCCTCGTCTTGAACCCACCACTATAGTACTTTGCACTATAGCCACTCCCACTATTTACAGATTGTACTTCCCATCCTCTTTTGTCTGCTTACCACATGCTTCCCACCTCTTCATCAGGATTCAATCTCCTGCTCATGGAGGCCTTTTCTGATTCCCTCCCTAGGGTAGAGACCCATCTTTGGGCTCCCTTTAAATTCTGTCCCTCCACTTATCATAGTCCTTTTCACCGTACTATATTATACTGAAGCATGATTCTTGGGTGGCTTATCTCTCCTTTTAGGCACCATTCTTTCTCCAACAAAAGTTTATTATCACCTGGACCATAGAGACAATGTCTTATTTATCTGTTCCTATCACAGTGCTTACCTTGGTATCTGCAATGTAGTCACTCAGCAGATATCTGTATAATGAATTCATGTAGCCATATATATATATATATATATATATATATATATATATATATATAGCCTGTTTGCTGTTACTCTTTTGTGCATAACAAATTGTGTTTGTATATAAATAGAACTTTGGGTAGTCTGGGTTCAGAAACATTTATTTAAGAAACATTTAAATGTAAAGAAGTTCTATACATCAGTTAACTTGACCTTTATAAAGTTTATGACAAGGAAAATTATAAAAATTTGGTTTATGGCCTGTTTATAAAGTGAAACAAAAACACAACACGGCACAATAAAACAAGACCAAGATAATGGACATTCCTGTATTTTTATTGCAGACTAGTGTCATAGTTCATGATTTTGTTTTCTGTAAGAGAAAGTTTACTTAGAAAGTCACAGAGGCAGAAAAAAGTGAGCTGTAGAGGAAATGGGCTCAGAGCTTAGGAGAAAAGGAAAGGCAGGAAAACGCGCCTTGGGGAAAGGTGTGGGCTGCTCTATTGGGAGAGCCACCCATAGTTCACGGCATTTAATTGCTGTTATACAGTCTCGAGGAAAGAACGTTGAATGTGAAACTGAGATTCAGCAGCTTCAAGGACAGACATTTCACAAGAAACCAATGGTGACATTGAACCCTGGTCTTTCATACTTCAAAAGCATCTGAGTCCTGTGGGTACTCATTTGAATTCTATTACTGAGTCGATGTGGCATAATAATAAATGACTTGCAGTTTCTTGTATAACAATATTTATGCCTCTCAACCTTTTTTATTAAAATATTGCAATGGTGAAGGAATAAAGCATATTGTGATAATTTGTACCCTTTATGTAAAAAAATAACCTGTAAAATAAAGATACTTTCAGTATCATTTAGTTTAGATTATAGGCTAAATGATATCTACTTTAAAAACCATGATCTGGAAGAGACAGGGCAGATGCAATATTATGCAGGAAAACAATCTGTGAAATACACATTAAATTAACAGATATTTGAGGGCAATGGAAGCATTAGTAAACCAAAAGTAATTGTATTTTGGGTAAAGAAACTTATTGTAAAGAGATTGCAGTTAACCTCTTGTTAATTATTGTGAGATTGTTACTATTTCAGTAGTATGAATGAGAAGAATGAAAAGTAAAATACTTAAGTTGATTCTTGGAAAATGCACACAGTTCTGAGAGCCAAAAGGATTGCAATATTTTTATTGTTTTTAATTTTTTTTGAAGGACTATGTTAGAAGCTCTGCTAGGCACAGGGAAAAAAGTGAACATATTTAAAAGCAAGGGGAAAAAAATAGAAAACTGCTATTGGGAATAATCCATTACTGACAAGCAGTATAGATTATAGGTGTCATTACTCTATGATTTTAACTTTTATGTTTAAGTTGACTTTTCTTGCTACTTGGGGATTAATTAAAACCCTTAAAAAATAAAATCAAAATTTACCTCAAATACCAAGCAGATCCTGGAAAACGCCCTATATAACTTTAATTAATTCTGATGATAGAATTTGAGCATATGGTACTTGGGGGCAATATCTAACACCACCGTTCCTTGGGCTATATAAAGAATTAAAAAAAAATAGAATTGCCCTAATAATGCTTCAATGTCATGAGATCCCTTTTATTGCTAGATTCTATATCCTCAGGGTCTGGCAAATGCCAGATGTTTCATAAATGTTAGTTGAATGAAAGGTGACTTATAGTTGCAAGTTTCCAAATTGCTCATTAAGAGAAATTCTGTGCACTACATTTTTACATATTTTTGGCGAAACCTAACAAAGAGTACAAATTATTTATTTAATTTAATTTTTTTTATTTTAAAATATATTTTTATTGATATTTTACAGAGAGGAGGAAAGGAGAGAGAGCTAGAAACATCGATGAGAGAGAATCATCGATCAGCTGCCTCTTGCACACCCCCTACTGGAGATGTGCCCACAACCAATGTACATGCCCTTGACCAGAATCAAACCTGGGACCTTTCAGTCCGCAGACCAACGCTCTACCAATGAGCAAAACTATGCCATCATAGTTTTTCATTAAATATCTTTTTATTATTTAATTTATTAAGGGGTCACTTAGACCCTCTGTAAAGCACAGTTATATTTTAAGTATAAATCCAGTTTAACTGGAAAAAAAATTGTCACTTAGATTAAAGTGATGGGGAGATGGGGCTCAAGATGAACATGATCATATTAATACTGTCGTCATGCTCATTTATTTTAGCCCAAACAACGAACCTCTATTGTGTCTTCTTTGGATTTCCATCGGACGAATCATAACCAAGATTATTTCGAAATCAACACGTCCACAGGGTGTACAAGCTTTCCTCCCAGCCCTCCTGCTAGTCCACCCACCTCTTCTGTGGAAACCGCAGTTGTCAAGAACAAGGACACTGGCCATCCAGGTAAGCATTGCAACTTTATGCAGCTATATTTCTCAACTTTCAAAACTAAAGCCTTTCTGAGTTAGATTCATTAAGAGGAACCCTTTGTACAAATTGTGCTGGGTTCTTTGATCACCTATATGTGAGGCAATGTAGGGCTTTATGATTTTTGTCAGAGTATGGGTATAATATTCTTTCTGAATACATTAGTGGCCTTTGAGGCATTAGATATTAAAGATGATGACATAATGCTATTATGATAGTGGGAAAAAAAGCAGAGACCTAGAAATGTTCTTCTTCCACTACTATTTACCCCTCTCCACATAGTGGTAGCAACTCATCAATATATGCCATCTACCTGTGAGGCTAGAGACTTTGGCTCAAGGTTATCTGGGAAGATTAAATAGGACAGCGTGGTCTAAGTGGGCTATCAATCTACTCAAACCAAAGTGAATTTAGAGAAGAGGGGTCTGAAGATAAGCCGGGAGGTAAAGGGGAGATTAGGAAAGGAACCACCCCCAGGAGTCAAACATACCTGGTTCCATCCAATCAGATTTGCAATGTTTCTTTGGGGGCTAATGACTGGTGGACAGAAATATAAGAAGGGTATCTTCTGTTTATGTCTAATTTGAAGTAAGTGAACTATTCAACTACTTTTCTTCAAAGAGAGATTATTTGAAAACCCTGTATATATAATTAATATGACTTTTAGAATCATAAATTATGGTTCATATGTGTAATCCATGTGATTATTGTTCAAAATGAGTGTGTGTATAACCCTGTGAAAGAATAAACATATACTTATTTAAGTCCTTTACAGTGGCTGCACTTTTAAGAACACTGTAAAGATTAAAATAATTTCAAAAATTTCGCCAGAGAATTATTTTCCCCTAGGAAAACAACTAAGATTTTTAAAAATAATGATTAATGTAAGTGGGGAGATCGATATTCTGTGGAAGCTATACTTCAGTCTTTCCATGGCAACCAGAGTGATATTTACAAAATGTAAATCAAAGCATGTCATCATTGTACTTGAGATGCTAGATTGCTTCTCACTGAAGTTAGAATGAAGTCCAACTCCTTAGTGTGGTCAATGAAGTTCATTGTAACCTTGCTCCTAACTAGCTCTTTAACCTAATCTTTTGCAAACCTATCCTGGCCCATACGGACTGTCTTTGCTAGGCATTCTGGTCCTGGGACTTTTGTACTTTGGTTCCTGCTGCCTAAAATCTCTGTCTTCAAATTTTCATGTGACTGAGTGTCACTTGGGTTTTGACTCAAATGTACTTCCTCATAGACGCTGTCCCAGGTTCCTTCACTATAATGATAATTATAGTAACAATGATGCAAAAAGAATAATAGCAATAATATTAATAAGCAATAGTATTTAAGCATATGTTTAAATATTTTTCATAATGTTTTCAATATTAACTTTAATTTATAATTATTATAAATATTTAATGTCTTGAATTTAATATCTTTAATAGTTAGAAGCAATAAGTATTTAACACTATGCTTTATACACTATTTTAGGCATTTTATGTATATTAACTCATTTAAACCTCATAACTGTTATATGAATTAGGTGTTATTTTTTATACACAAGGAAACACAGAAAAAAGCTAAATAACTAAACAACAACCCATAATAACAGAGCTGGAATTCAAACTTGGTGGTAGAGTCCATGTTCTTAAGCATGTTTCAACATTGCCTAGTTACTTTGGTCAAATCATCCTTTTTTTTTTTTTTCCAGAACCTATTTACTATCTAAAATTATATTGTTCACTTGTGTACTTATCGTCTTCTCTCCTTTTTCTATATTTGTGATTTAGAATGGATGGGTCCCTGATACATTGTAGACTGCCTAAGATTGTTTACTAACTATGAGACTGAACTTCTTATCTAGCTATGAAACTTAAACCTCTTTATGCTATGGATTTTATCTATAGACTTAAATTAACAATTAATTAATTAAATTAGCTTGTCCGGTAGTGCAGCCATGCATTTAAAGTGATTAGTGCTGTGTCAGGTACATAGAGTTAAATAAATGTTAGTAACTATTAGTAGTAGTCATTATGTTAGTGAAACCTAGTATTAGTCAGTGAGCATGGGCATTTAGTGCATGTCTGCCTTGTACCAGATCCAGGTTTCCAGGAGAGGAGAGATGGGACATGATTTGTAAATCAAAGTGGTATGCGAATCCCAGGAAGGGTTGTTGGCATATAACTCATACTTAATTAATACTTAGTTGAATTACTCATTCCAGGTTTAAAAAGTTAAAATGGAAAAAATGACATTGATACTTGATTTTTGGAAAATCTTTCTTAGTTTTATTTTTGTGTACTAATTGGTGTGGGGTTTTTTTAATGATTAATTTTGAAAAATTTCAACAATGCTTTGAGATAGATAGTATTTATTCATTTATTTATTTATATATTAAGAGTAAGAGAAGTTATGGGGCTAGTGCCCTTTCTCCACTCTGACCACCAAGGGGAGAGGAAAGGAACACATCCTATTGCTATCTGGATTTCAGTGGCACCATCCAAAATGTGTGGAGAAATTATTATTTTCCACACATTTCAAAATTGATATTTTCAGGCCTGACCTTTGAACAGAACTAAAATCTAACCTTTAACAGCTGAAATAATTTCAAATAGCACGCATGTTACTATGGTTTCCTAATGTGATATGTCACCTCCATGTTACATCAAAAATTTTAGAGTGGGCTGATATTTAGTAATAATGAGTAAGGAAAGATGGTGCTGATTGTTTTACATCAAAAAGTAAAGTTTTAAGGTAGGTATTTATCTACGGGGGAAACTAGCATTTTATTATCTTATACTAGCATTTTGTTATCAATGTTTTGCTAACCTTTGCATTTAAGAACCTGAACATGCAGGTGCTACCACATAGGATATATGGAAAGAGGATGAGTCCCAGTGTCAGTTCTGTCGCTGATTTCCTAGGTATTTTCCATCAAATCACTTAATTCCCTGAGAGGGGGGTTCCATACAGGGGTGTTCTCTCCTGGTTCTCTTTCTGATCTCGACCACCACAGGTCTCCTTCTTGTATGAACTTCTGAGTTATCTGAGAGCCTAGGTGATAAAGCATTTCAGTCCAGTAGGTATTGCCAATGTGTTCCTTTTCCTTGGGTAACAGTTTGTTTGTTTGTTTGTTTGTTTGTTTGTTTAAATAGAAATGGTGGAATTCTGCATCTACCATGTTTCCCAGAAAATAAGACATCCTCCGAAAATAAGACTTAGCGTATGGAAAGATAAGACATCCCCTGAAAATAAGACCTAGTGCAACTTTGGGAAAAAAAATTAATATAAGACACTGTCTTATTTTCGGGAAAACAGGGTATTTGAAAGGTAGAAGCAACGTTTTTTGGATGGGTTGGGTGGTAGGGTATGAGAAAATGAAAGAGACCAAAGATGTGACTTAAGGATTTGTTGGCCCTTTTGACTTCTGGAAGGATGGACTTGATATTAATTCAGGTGAGAAAACTCACTTTTGGACATGTTAATTTGAAACATTATTGTATAATCAAGTAGATAAGCTGAGTAGATAGTTGAGAGGGATTTTTTTTTTAGTGGGATAAGGAAGGGTGGGATGAAGCTATGGGTTAATTTTATATTTATCAAATTAAAGGGTATCAGTTTTAAAAGACTGAGAATCAGTGCTTTAGCCCACAATAAGTTACTTGAGAGTTCGGAGTTCCTCAGTGAAAATGTCCTGGACAGGTGTGCTGTGAACTGCTGAGGGAAAAGAAGCTGAGAATCACCAGTAATAAAAGGTGCTTCCTCCTTATGTAAAGTTGCTTCCAGAAAGCTCTATGAAGAATTTTGTTGACTAGCACTTTTGGACACCTGCTTAGGAATTTAACTACCCTGGGTAAATAATTATCTCCAATTGCATTCGTACTTTCCAATCATCACCTCCTGCTGGAGAAAACTTCTTTCCAAATGATACAAATAACAAAAACAAACGCTTTTAAGTGCTTAGCAGCATCCGATGCTTTTCTGCAAGGGAGAAGAAACATTAGAAAAGAACTAAAATTAGAAAGGAGAAGGTGGTGTGGACCTTTCACGCTGCTTGGGGATTGCCAGAAAGCAAATGAAGGCCTTCTTTTTAATTAGTTCACACGGCCTGGAAATAGGCCTCCTGAAGCTGGGGCAGTGTTGTTCCGGCAGCCGTTGGACGCAGGCAGCGGAGGGGCTCTCTGGCCTCCAGCCAGCACCAAGGCCAGAGCCGGGTAGCTGAGATGATGTGGGAGCTCCACGCTGAGATTCGGGGTGAGCTGATATGGAGGAAGTGAAGGGTTAGTGGGAATTTTGTATTAATTATATCTTTGTGGTTTATTTTATTTAAAAATGCATTAAGTAAATTATCTCGATTATTTATTGTTAAATTGGGTACTTTAGGTTGACTAAGTTTTAGGTGGCCAAAAGGAAGTAATTTTTATATATCACACACACACACACACACACACACACACACACACACACACACACACACTATTTCAATTACTTAAAACTATGAAAATATCTTCCAAAGTTAGATGTTGGAGTAATGCGATTTAGTTAGTGCATGCAATTGGGTGGGAACTTGTGATGCTGACTGTAATTAGTTGAAATAAGACTGTTGGTTTATTTGGCCAGCATAAAATAAACTTGTTTATTCAGTATGTGGCATTCTGAGAAAGGCCAGGGGGCTGTGAGGGGGACCTATGAATGTGATTGATCTCATGGGGAGTCTGCAATGCTTCCAGCGAAGAGACACATTGATTTGTCCAGATATGGCCATTGTGAGGCCACCGAGGGAGTGAGAGTTGTGCAGGGTCTTGGAAGCTGCGTTCAGGATGCTGGCCTGCATCTAAGATAAACTCTTAACAGCAGTGAGAAGTCATTGACAGGTTTGTAAGCAGAGAGAAATGATATACTTTTTTTTTTTCCCCCTGTGTGATGTCTCCTATTTTTTTCCCCATTAACTAAAGCAAAGTCTTTCTTGGAGAGTGACC